TCGGCACTCACATCAACCGCGTACGCCGTGGGCTTGTACACAAACTTGGTGCACTTCTGATTGGCGTCGAAGACCATGCCGAAAAGGCCGATGCTCCCCCACGCCACGGCACCTGTGTCTGGGTTCACAGTGGGACGAGCCCCGCCGGAAGTGAGGTCGGACAGGTACTTGTTGGCTGTCTCATCGGAACGAATGGCCACGGCGCGATGCAACACCAACTTGCTTTGCAGAGCGGGGTGGCACTTCAGACCCTTCGCGAGATTGTGCTTCAAGCGGAAGACGTTCGGGAGCGCCTGCGAATCGTAAACTTTCATGCGCGCCAGAACCGTGTCCGACAGCTTGAACGTTTTCTTGGCCCACTGGACGAGCCAATCGTAGTCCAGGTCCCCGATCGTGTCGGGCGCCACCTGAAACTGATGCTCAATGTCGCTCTCCTGGTGCCCCGTCAACTTGTTTGTAAGCTTCGTCACCGTCCGCTCCCGCTCCTTCGGGTAGTTCCACAGAATCTGGACCGCGTCGACGAAAGCCCTATGCTCGATCTGCTCGTCCTCAGTGGCGTGTTTGGGGAGGGCCGGCATGTGCTTCAGGAGGGGGCACGCCTTCGGCAAAGCGAGCTGCCTCGACAGAGACATGGCGCCGAAGCAGGCAATCCACGACCGCGAGAAAAAAAAAGAGACCAGCACACTCTCGAGCCAGACAGCTACGGAAGGCACTGAGGACGTCAAAAATAATGATATCAGACAACTGCTACTGCATGTGGCCGACGAGAATCGCACTGCCGACTCGCTGTGCCCGACAATATATATGAGGATGACTCGCAAGGCCAGCCGGCTGGAAGAGATTTCCCGCGAACGCGAGCGGCAATGCTGTCGACAGAACCGCCCATCAAGCAAGGATAACCGAACTCCTCTTGCTGTCGTTCCTCCCCCCCCTCCTCTTCCTACCACCCCTCTCCTTGTCATAATATTAATTGTCCTCCTCCTCCGCCTCCTCCCAACTCCCCCTCTTTTTTTTTCTTGTGCTGCGGACTAATCTGGTCAATGCGTCTCAGCGATGATCCGTGGGCAACGCCCGCGCGATCTAAAGCGAAGAAAAAAACATGCTGCCAACGAATGCTCGCGCAAACGGGTGGATCGCAACGGAAAGTCGTCGCGACACGGCGAGGCGGCCAAGTCCAGCAAAACGTGGCGCGCTGAAGCCGCCGCGGCAAAAACGCAAACACCGCGGGCGGAGCCGCGATTCGCTCGCGAGGTGCAACTGGAATCTCCGCGCGGGCGCAGCCTCTCGCCACCGCATGAGCAGGCGCAACTACATGATATTCGGTTCCCGAAGAAGGGCGGGGCACGCTGCAGCGGCGCTCCGGAATGAACCACCCAGACAACGACCAAAGAGAAAAAAATCTAAAACACCACGGCACGGTGACGGTGTATAGATGAATTCCCCGGAAGAGAGAGAGAGAGAGAGAGAGAGAGAGAGAGAGAGAGAGAGAGAGAGAGAGAGAGAGAGAGAGAGAGAGAGAGAGAGAGAGAGAGAAAAAGCCCAGGATAGAGAATGCCGTGAAGGGTCGGTTTGCCCTGGCGGCCTGAACCAGAGAACCAGAATTCCGAATTGCCCCGCAATGGGCCCGCCAGCAGCGCCCCTGGCGGCAGCGGCTGCCTGGCGCCCAGGCCCGCGGACAGGTCCACGACGAACCCGTGGCCCCTGCACTCCGCCGACGCAAGAGCGAGCAAGATCTTCTTCTTGTCGTCCAGGACGCGGAACCATCGGCTCTCGCCGAAAAGAGCGTCGGCCGCGGCCACGGTCGGCATCTTCACCTGGTTCCGCAAGCAATACTCGAGAATGCCCTTCTGCCAGCCCACTGGCAGGGCGCGCGTTTGAACCGCCTCCCGCTGCAGAATGGCATCGTCGATGTAGTCCGACCACACCGTCGCCGAAGCCTCCGCAAAAGCCTCGAAGGGAGGGCCGCGGATCTGCCGTGCCTCGACGCTCTCTGCGAACACGGAAGAACTCAGTCCCCGACTCCATGTTCAACAGGGCGCCCCCGCGCGCCGCCAACAGCCACCTGCTGCACTTGCTGAAAGGCGCGCCGTAGTCCGCCGAGTCCACGACGAAGGTCAGACACTGCCACTCGTCGGTTTCCTGCAATTCGTCGTGCGGGATGCTCTCCCCCGGCCCGTCCGTGCTCTCCACGAGAACGAGCTCGCTGTTCTGCGCCGCATACTGCAGGAGAATGCTGGCCGCGCTGGCGCCGCTGGCCCCCGGGCGCCTGAACGAACAGCTCCCCAAGAGCAAGGCTGGGCCCCCCCTGGCGCGCGCAGCAGCACCTCTGGGGAGGCCGCCGATGCCCCGGATTCCGTCGTCCACGCTCCGCCCAGATCCGCCTAACGGCGCGCGCCACCTCGCGAACACTTCAGCGCGCTGATTCGCCATGGTGCTCTTAGCCGCGTCCGTGCGGCAGTGGGCAGCGATGCGAAAACCCTCCGACAAGAGACCGTGCTTCTGGAACACCCTCTGCAATTCCGTGAGCACGGGCGCCGCGACGAGCATTCCGTCGCCAAACGCCGCCACCGAGAGCGCCTGGGGCATCGATTCCGTGACGTACGCGGCGCGCTCTTTGAGGACGGGGGGCATATAGGCGTCCACCCACTCCCCGAAGAATCGCAGCGCATGTCCACTAGCAACCGCGGCTGCATCGATCGCCTTCGGGGCTGGCCAAGCTGGCAACCAGTCATCTCCGATGACCTCGGGGCCTTCCTCGCGCGGCTGCTCCTCCTCTCCGAGCTCGCCGCCGTCGCCGCCGCTCTCCTCGGCAAGCTGGCGCAGGTCGTCAGCCTCCGCCTCCACGTCCGCGGCCGCCGCGTCGGCCTCTACTTCCGACGACGCCTTGCCGCGCCCCTCGCTCACTGCCCGACCCTCTCGGCCGCCGCCGCCAGCGGCGCCCTCGCGACGCACGGGGTCTGCCGAGGCGTCGTCTTCGGCGCGCCCAGCAGCGCCAGCTTCCGGCGAACCTTCCAGCGGCCCTCGAGCTTCCTCCTCGCCCGCTGTCACAGCCGCCTCCGCGGCCCCCCTGGCACTCGAAGCGGCCGCCGGCCGCCGAAGAGCGGAGGCCGCGGCCGCCCTCTTACCCGCACTCGAGGCCGGCGCCTCGGCCGGCCTCTTCTCGGCCCCGCTGGCGATGGACGACGGCGCCTGCCTGGATAGGCGCGCTCGGAGCGGCGACGAGCCTTCTACAGCGCTGGCCCGCGCCGCCGCAGGCGCCACGAAGTTGTCGAGGTCGAGGCGCCCCCAGCGGCTCCCATCCGGGAGCTTCGGCAGTTTTTTCGGGGCCATCAGCCGCGCCGAAGCGGGCCGCGCGCCGAGGCGGCCTGGCCGCGCGGGCCCACTGCGCCGCGCGCCTTGAGCCAGAAAACTCTGGAGGGCAGCCTACTGACCCCATCGGGGCCCTCTCGAGGCCCCCCCGCGGTTCCCAAGGCACATGTCCACGGACCAAACAAAAGCCTGCCTGGTTGTCTCACTGCCCGCCCTCCGCAAGGAGTGAACCAGATAATGAATATTATGGCCCTGGTCTTTCTCACCCCTTCCCCCCCCCGCCCCCCTCTCTTCCCCCCCCCATTCCTTCTCCCTTCCTCCTCCCAGTATCCCCTCTCCTCCTCCCGCCCTCCTCTCCCCCCCCTCCCCTCTCCCCCCCTCCCTCCTCCCTTTCTCCTTTATTCCTCCTCCCTTCCTCCATCCTTACTCCTCTGTACCTCCCCCCTTACTCCTCTATTCCTCCTCCCTCCCCCCCTCCCTTCCACCCTCTTCCCCTCTTCCCCCCCTTCCGTGCTTCGGGCCGATCGGGGATTCGACTTTTCTGTTCCGTGGATGGGAACATGATCTACCTTTGTAGGCTCTGTTTACCTGTTGCAGGAGCGTGCCTATTGCTTCCATTAGGTCTCGTGCGCCTTTGCTGCTGCTGCTGCTGCCGCTGCTGCTGCCACACCAGGGGCCCAGGAGCGCCAGGCGAGCGAGCTAATCCGAGTCAAGGGGCGGCAACTGGCCCGCCACGCAGGCAAGTGGCAGCAGCAGCAGCATCAGCAGTAGATCTGCCAACGGCCGAACCCCTGGCATCTGTAAAATGGTCGTCGTCCTCCTCCTCCTCCTCCTCCTCCTCCTCCTCCTCCTCCTCCTCCTCCTCCTCCTCCTCCTCCCCCCCCCCATCCTCCTACCCACCCATCCTCTTCCTCCTACAGAGCGAGGGGGGGGAGGGAGAGCAGCAACAAGAGCAGCAGCAACAACCAGAACCTTCGGCGGACAGGAACCGCTCTTGCTCTAACAGGGCGCGCCCTCGGCGCGCGAAGACTGGCTTGAAATGCTGGCAACTGGCAGCAGCAGGAGCAGCATCCGCAGTTGATCTGCCTACGGCCGACCCCCTGGCAGGTGTGCGATGGCCCTCCTCCTCCTCCTCCTCCTCTTCCCCCTCCCCTTCTCCCCTCTTTTCCTCCTCCTCATCCACGGATCCCGATTCGCCTGCCTGGGGCGGCATCGGTGCAAGTTTCAAGTCTGTTGCGTCCTCGTGGACGCGCCCAGCAGAGTACGGCAAAACCCTCCTGCGTCTCCTGCTCCTCCTCCGCCTTGCTTTCCCCCCATCCTTCCTCATTTTTTTGCAGAGCGAGTGTCAGACTCCCCTCGACTAAGCACATCGCTCGCATTGTCCGTAGCAAACTTCCGAAGCTGGAAAAGCAAGGCCTGTGGACAACCCCCGTGAGAGACCGCCACGGGCTGTCACTGCGCCATTCCCCTGAACTCTATACCGAGCGTCAGCCCGCAACTCGCAGTGCATATCTCGCGCGCTGGACCTCCCCCCGCCGCCTCGCTCTATCTCCTGCGCCCCCCTGCCCCCCGCGCCCCTCTCGGCTCAGCGAGGCGGCCCCTGGGCGCCGGCCGCTCGACTGGAGAGCGCGCCAGGCGCCCCCGCCGCAAAGAAAAACACCACCGCGCCCCCGGACTCCTGCAGCGCGCACCTACGCGGCCTTGCGCGCGGACTTGCACACAGGGGCGCCGCCAATGCTGGCTCTCTTCGCCGCCAGAACCGCTGGGGAATGCGGCGTCGCCTTTGGAAACGACGCCGCGTCGCCCACCCTGGCCCTCTTGGCGGCCCCGGGCGCAGCCCGGGCGCACCCTTTCTGGTCAGTGCCGCCGGCCCCGCTCCCAGGCGCGCTGTCTGCTGCACCGCTGGCGCCTTCCGCCTCGCTCTCCCCGCTCACTGCGCGGCCGGCGAGGATCGCCTTCCCCGCGTTCAGAAGGATCTCGGGGATCAGGCGGCCCTCGAGCGCGGGAAACTCCTCCTTCGTCTTGTCAGGCTCCTCTGCGACGCTGATGAGGTTCTTCATGGCATCGCGGACCTTCTGCTTCTGCTGGGCCAGAATCCTCGACTGGCCTTTCGCCCCCCAAATCGACGACGCCACGTTCGCGCACCAGGCGACCAGGAAGAGCCGCTGTCGCAACTGTGACGTCATGGAGTCCACCTGCGACTCAAGATGGGGGTCGCGGTACACCTCCTTTATGAGAGAGAAGCCACCGATCACCTGGAGCGAACGCGGGGTGGCGAGGAGGAGCCGCGGCGGAATGCACTGGGAACGAGGGGAGCTCGGTGGGATGAGACAGCGGGGGACTGGTGAAGGAACACGAGGAGCTGGGGAAGACGGCGAACAAGGATCTGCGCACCTTGTTGACAGCATCAACCATCTTCCCACCCTTGCCGCCGAAGGTCTCCGGCATGTCCACGGTGCCACCGACAACCTTTAAGAACTCGGCCGCTTCCTGCAGCGTCTCGGGGATGGGGCTCCTCTCAAGAACCTCCTTCGCGGCGCGCACGGCTGGCTCGGCGTCGAACCGCTTGACGGAGCGTTCAGCCCGCTCCTGCGCGACTTTCTCCAGCCATGGCACGGCCTGCGCGTGCAGCTCCTTGCTGGCCCCCACTGCTGCCTCCACATCTTCCAGAGAAGCGTCGAAAGTCTTCGCGATGACCGTCTGGAAGGCGCGCTCCGGCTGCACCATGTCCCCGATGTCCCCGAGCTGGCGCACGGCGTCGCTCGCGTTCTCCCACAGCTCCAGGTTCAGCTCGCCCCCGGCCTGCTCGGCAAGCTCCTTGGCGTCGGCGACGGCCGCGACGCTGCACAGCCACATGTCCGCTTCCTTCCAGGTGTCCCCGGGCGGCTCCGCGCTCAGCAGCTTGGAGATATTCAAGAAGGCCTGCAATTCCTTCCGTTGCCACGCCGCCGAGTCCACGCGCTTCAGAGACTGTTCTGCTGCACCCTTGGCTCTGGCCAGAACGCTGTGGCCCAAGGCCCTGCGCACACGCGCCGCCGTGCCCAGCGCGAGGGAGAACAGCGACTGCAGCCCCTCTACGTTGTCTTCCGCAGACGCTGTCACGCCAGACCTTCAACAACGCCTCGGGGCTCTCCTTCAAGAGGTCGCACAACCGATTGGCTGTCTTCACTGGCTGCTTCATCCCAGGTACGTCGAGACGGCTGTACGCGGCGATGTCGGCGATCTTCTTCAATGCCCCGAAGGCGGTCTCGTGGGGGCCCGTGATGCCATCAGGCGCCCACTCCTCGACGGTCGACCAGCCGTGCTCCAACTCCAGCCGCTCGACGCACGCGGCAGTCAGGAGCTCCTCTGGAGAACGCGTTTCGGCGCCCAAACTACATTGAGAAGGCGCGCTGCTGCAGCACCTCTGGCACAAGGTGTTCTCCTCATCATCCTCCTCCCTCCTCCGCCTCCACTTCCTCCTGATCGTTCTGGCGGTCCGGGGTCCAGGGGTGGTTCATCTGTCTGTGTCCTGTTTCTCGCTATCGGACAAGGAATCTTTCCTCAGGCCTGCTGCGGCTCGCCCCACCTCCTCGCGGGGCGAGCGCAAGAGCAACCCGAGGACCACGTCCTCGAACGCCGTGCCTCGACAGGAGGCAAACACAGGCAACGGCGAGGTCAAACATCCCATGCTCAAGTAGGAGAAAATAAGGCGCGCCACAGCAGCACCGGCCAAACTAAAACCAATGGCGGATCGGAAACCCTCGAACCTCATCGAACGGACTCGCGATCTTGCGGAGGCCCGCCCGCGGCCTTCCCTGGCGAGTCGGTGCCGGTCGGCCTCCTGCAGCGCGCCCGCCTTGGACGCGGCCTCCTTCTGCTTCTTGCAGGCGCGCGACACCTCCTCGGTCCAATTCTGCCACTGCTCCCCGGCGGCATGGCCCGTCACCTGCGCGAAGAGCTCCCGGGCTGCCTGGGCGCACTGGAGAGCAGCCTCCTCGTGGGGCCGCTTCTTCATGGCCGACTCCGCCCAACCAACGAGGACTTTGCCGCCCGGGCTCGTGTTCAAAGCGACGCCCAAGGCCCCCTCCAGCTGCGGGAGCGCCTCCAGCGCCTCCTCCACCTCAGTCAGCGGGGCAGTGCTCGCGCGCGACACTGCCAAGAGAACTTGGATTTGACCCTTCAGCTCCTCCTCCCACACTGGCCGCGCAGGGTTGGCGGGGGCCCGCTGGAGAGCATCCCGCGCGGCGCCAGCGAAGGCAACCACGGGATCGTCCACCGTCTCCTTGGCGTCCGACTTCGCGACGGCCGAAATCATGCCCGCGCCGACTCGCTCGAGGGTCGTCGTCGCGAGATCTGCCGAGGGCGCGCCATCTGCAGCACCGCTTTCCAACAGGGACATCAGCTGTAACCAATCGCAGCGCTTGATGGCCTCGTCTGCCTTCCAGCTCCTGAACCGCATGTGGTACGCCACGCCGAACGCGATGTCCTCCGCCGCGGCGATCTCGGTGTCTTTCAGGAGAGTCTCGGTGTTCCCTGGCTTCTCGCTCACAGCAGCCTGCGGACTCCTCCGCCTCCTCTGGTCCCCCATCGCTCAATCTTCTTCCTCCTCCGCTTCCGCCGCCTCCTTTGAACTGGGCCGGGGGCCTCCAAGCCCCCGTTCACAAAGAGGAATGAACAACTGAATGCGTACTGTAGCCCCCTCCTCCCTTCCTCCCCCATTCCTCCTCCCTTCCTCCTCCCTTCCGCGTCCCTTCCTCCTCCCTTTCTCCTGCCTTCCGCCTTCCTTCCTCCTACCCCCCCTCCTGCCTTCCCCCTCCCTTCCTCCCTCTCCCCCTATCGTCCTTCTCCTTTCCTCCTCCCTTCCTCCATCGACGACGACGACGACGACCACGAACGCGACCACGACCGCGACCACTCCGCCTTGACGACCCGCACTGCCGCGGCCAGCGCCTCCTCTGGGCGCGCCAGCCACGCCTTGTTGATCTGCAGCGCCTGCGCGCCGTCATCCGGGATCTTCCCCATCTTGGCCGCTGCCTTCTTGGCCGTGTGGATGGCGCTCTCTGCGGCTGCCGCCTGCTCAAAAGCCGTGGCCTTGAAGTGGGCTCTCCCCTCCTTCGTGGACAGGTCCACATCTCCGCTGAAGTCGAGCAATTTGTAACACTCCCGGAACGTGTTGAAGAGCGTGTCGGCCTCGCCCTTGAGTTTCCTGCCGGCCGCTGCGAGGCTGAATTCGAGGGCCTTCCGCCCCCTCTTCTTCGACGCGGAGCCGTCCTCGAGAGGTGCTGGCTCGTCCGGCTGCCCGCCGCCCTCGTCGGAGTCGTCGGGCGGCCGGGCGAGCAGGGGCGCGGCCCACGAACCGCCGCTGCCACGCTTCTTCCCTGGCTGGCTCCGGCCCGAGCGCTGCGGGGTCGCCAAGGGCGGACTGGCGCTGCTGCCGCCGGCTGGCTGCGCCGAGGGCGCGGCCGTCTGAGCGGGGGCGCGGGCGGCTGACCTCTGCGGCGGCGCCTGCGCCGAGGGCGCGGCGCACTTCGAAGGGGCAGCGGCTGCGGGCGTGGCAGCCCCTTTGGCGGCAGGCATCTCGGCTGTCTGGGCGGGGCGCCCGGACGTAGCCCTCCCGGTCGTCTGGGCTGGCGGTCTGGCCTGCGGCTTGGTCGCAGCCTTGGGCGCGGGCTTGGCGGCGCGGGCCGTGCCCCACAGGCCCGACAGCGCCGCGGCCACGAGATCCGTCTCTTCGGCGTCCTCGTCGCTCGCGGGAGAGTCGGACTGGTGCCCCTCCGACGGCGCGCTCTCTGCTGCACCGATCTCCGCGCACTGCGTGGCGCGCCGCAGGGCTGCAATTGGGGCCACGGCGGCCTCGGCAGCAGCCGCAACCTCAGCCGCGTCCGCGTCGTCGTCTGACTCGGCCACAGTCGCCAGCACCGTCCTGTCCTCCACCTTGCGATCGTCGTAGTCCGCGATGTCGTACAAGAACTTCTTCGCGCCGTCCTTCATGACATATACAACCTGCCAGTAGGAGAGCAGAAAGGGAGGGCATTTCAACGATGAAGGAAGCGAGTGGGAAGACGACTTGGCAGCGCGCCTCCTGCCAGGCGCCGTCGATGAGCTCCTCGCCGCGACAATTCGGGTCCGTGGACAGCGGCGTCTCAGGGAAAGCCTCGTGCCACTTGCTCACGGGGCAGGCTTGATGCCAGTTCGCAGACAGGCGACGCCCGGAGACCTTGACGGAAGATACCTGGCGAGCCTGCTGGATGTCTCCCGCGGCCTGCCTGGACATGCGGCGGCGCTTCTCTGGGTCCTTCCCCGCCTGGCTCTGGACGTACGCATCCACCTTGAGCCGCACGGTCTGCGCCCGGCCCGCATCCTGGCGCACCCACTTGATGTACTCCTTCAGCGGCTTCTTCTCGCCGCCAGGCAAGTGGGGGTCCAAGAGCACCGCCTGCGAGAGAGAGAAAGAGAGAGAGAGAGAGAGAGAGAGAGAGAGAGAGAGAGAGAGAGAGAGAGAGAGAGAGAGAGAGCTGGACCAAGTCGGAATCGCGTCGGACATGGGTCGGGGCCGCGTGGGACTCGAGTCGCGTCGGGCCCCGTGCAGGATAGGCCGGGCGGGGCACCCCTGCGGATCGAGCGGAGGTGGAATGTCCAACGGCAATGCTCGAAGTCGCCTCGCCGCGACCAGAAAAAAATGCATTCCTCTGCCGGTTGCCCTTTTTCTCTTGCGCGGACTTGCAATGCGCTGAATTTAAAATTGCATCTCTTTGTGACTTTATTGAAAAAAATCATTTTCCCCCCCCAAAAAAGTCATGTTCACCAAAACCACTTTTATGTTCACCAGGGCGATTTTATGTTCACCAGGGCGGTTTTATGTTCACCGGCCGGAAATTCAAAAAAACAATTATGTTCACCAAAACCACTTTTATGTTCACCAGGGCGATTTTATGTTCACCAGGGCGGTTTTATGTTCACCGGCCGGAAATTCAAACAAAAACAATGGGAAATAGAAAAAAAATCAGAAATAGAAATTTGCAGCCCGCGCGGGCAGAGAAAAATTGAAAGCGGCGGGCTCGATTTCAGCGAAATGTCCCTTGCCCGCCTGCCTTCTTGCGCAACAGGGCCTTGCAAACCAGGCACAAATAGCCCGTGGCCTGGCGGATCATGCTGCCATGGTCGGCGCGGTACTTCCACGGCCAGTATCCGCCGAACTCGTCCTCGCTACTCGCCTGGGGATACGGGCTCGGGTCCGTGCTCTCGTGGGCGCAGAGACCGCACGTGAAGCTGGAACCATCCTTCTCGTTGAAAGGTTTCACCAGATAGCCAGCCCACTGGCCAACCACCACGAGGGCGACCTGAGAGGAAACGGGAGCCAAGAGGGAGGAAAGGAGGCGAGGCGAAAGAAAGGAAGGACATAAGGAAGTGCACAATGACGGGGGCCCCTCGACCTCGAGGCCGTGCAGCATGCGGCCCCGCCGCAACCCCGAGGCCAGGGACGGCGCTTTCTCCGTCCCCCCGTCGGTGTCGGAAGGCGATGCCTTCACCGTCTCCGCGCGGGACATCGCGGGGGGCGAGGGGGCGGGCGCGGCGGCGGGCAGCGAGGCGCTGGCGCGGACGGCAGCTTAGCCGCAGCTCGGGAACAATGCTGCGCCGAGAGACGCGGCGAAACAGCGATTGGAGCAACGATCAGGCGACAGCTGCGCGATTGCAGCGGGCGGCCGCGGCGGCGACAACGGCTCTGAGAAATGCACTTTTACACGCCTACGCTTCGTATCTGTCCTGGCGGGAAGATCACCCGCCACTGGCCCGCCTCTCCTCCGAGTCCCTCCAAGGCTGGCTCTCGGGCATGCCCTCGAGGACCGCGCGAGCAGCGGCGATCTGCGCTGGCGTGGGCACCTTTTGTTTATGGTCTGCCTTGCTCCCGCATCCAGGGGCCTCCCCCAACCACCACCACAAAGCGGCCAATGGTCTGACCCTCGATTGCCGGTTCCATGAACAGCCTGGATGGAGGCCACAGACGGCGCGCATGTCGTAGACGGCGAGGGCCTCGTTCTCGACAAGGCGAATGTAGTGAGGACGGCCAGCCCCAGCGGGATGTGGGAGCTGCGGGTATCGGGCGACGCGCGGGCGCCTCGGCGCGCCCGCGGGGGGCGGCGGCGGCGCCGCCGCCGCAGCGTGGCCGCCCAGCGGCCCGTGCGCCAGAGCGGCGTCCGGCGCTGCTGCGGGAGGCGCCTCCGCTGGCGCGCCTTCTGCTGCACCCTGCGCCCCGCGACCCCTCTGCCGCCAGGCGGCGGCGGCCCCCCAAGCGGCCTTCCAATCCTTCGCGTAGTCAGGCCCCTCATCCCCGCCACGCGCGCCGCTGCCCCCCCCGTCGGCGGAAGCCCCGCCAGGGCGGGAGTCGGCGAACGCCTGGAACCAGCCCGTCGCCAGGTCAACGTCCTTCTCGTGGAGGCGTGCCTCGTGTAAGTCCCGCTCCTCCGCCCAATCGACCGAATACTGCAGCTCTGAGCAACCCATGCGCGGGCGCGCAAGAAGTTCGACCCAGCGCAGCTCAGCCCGGTCGCGCCCGCACACGCGTAAGATGTGGAGGGCGACGTCGATCTCAGCCATCATCTTCAACACTCTGCGGCCCTTCCTCTCCACCCAACACCGGCGCAGAGAGAATGGCACCTCGGGGGGCGCCGCGCCGAGCCCGCATGGCTGCCCCACCACGTCGCACTCGCAGAACTCCCCCGTGAAAATAAGACTTTTCAAGTGCGAGAAGTTGCGAATCATCACACAGCCTCCAGGCCCTGAAACCTGGAGGGTCATCATCTTCCCGACAGTCTTGCACCTCGCAGGGGCCACCAACAGCCGCAAATCTTCCACTACGCCTTGGTACTCCCCCCGCAAGTCGGCGACGCCGCCAAGGCATTCTGCCGCGCGCGTGCAGCAAGGCCGCTCAGTTGGGAGGCCGCAGCGAATGAGTCCTGGAGGCGCCACAGCAGCATTGTACATTTCGTCAAACGACACGGCCGTGGCTTCCACGAAGGATCCCCTCTTCAGCTTCGCATCGACATGTGCTTGCACGGCTGCGGAGACAAGGTCCTCGGACAAGGGGATCTCGTCTGAGCCGAGACCCCAAGGCCAAGCAGCTTCGTCCGACTGGTCAACGCGGTCGCGACAGATGCGCACGTACTCGTGCAGCGGGTCTGGCTTCATCCTCTCAGCCTTGTTCGCGCGCCGAGCCGCCTCTCTCCAGCTTCGCCTCTCGGCCTCGGATGCAGCCCGCCAGTCCGCGGCCGCCTGTAGATACAGACGCCGCTCGTACTCTCTCGGGTCTGCCCATGGCGCCCGCGGCTGCGAATCTCGCAGATCAGCCACGCGACGGTGGTAAAACATATAATGGCCCAACCTCTTGCGCCGCTGGTTGCCTCCTTTGCCTTGGGCCCAGATCGGTTTCGAGTGGCCGCTCTTCTGCAGGAGTCGGCCCCGCTTGGCGCGCAAGTCGCGCCCGCGGCGCCTTCTCCGCCCCTCTTCGCGACAGCGAACAACCTCGGAGATCACGTGCTTGGCGGAGAGCGTCGCGGCGTTCGGAGGTCTGTTGTTCATCGTCTGGAGGTGGGCTCTCATCCGCGCAAAAGCCAATCCCACGCGCCCTTCAGGGCGCAAGTGGTCTAGGGAGATTCCTCTTCCAACCCCCATTCTTTCCCGTTTGCGGAGGGGTCTACCCCTCTCCCGCGCCCCCTCCCCAGGACCTGGGCGCGGGGGCCCGCAATAGGTTAGAGCGTCAAGAATGGCCCAAGACGGCCCCTAGGGTCGCAGACCGCAGCCGTGAAAAAGCCAACTCGCCTGGGCGACGTTTCTGGATGGGCTGGCGGGGATCTGCGCAACGCCAACAATTCGGAATGCACCGTCGAGGCCATCGCGTACCTGAAGCACGCGGAGAGAAAGCGCTGCACCTCTGGCAGGAAAAGGTCGCCAACGCCCGCGGTGCACATCTTCCTCAGCCTCAAGGAGAACCCCGAGTCCAGGCAACACTCGTTTGCCCGAAAGAGTTATTCGCCTTCTGCGCGGCGGGCCCCCATGTCCAGGGAGGCGTCCACGAGCCGCATGAGCCTCCATGGGTAACCGCTCAAACGAATGTCGAAGCGACGATAAAAGGACCCAGTGAATACGTGGACGATGGCGCCTGCTTCGCGGAGGACCTCGCCGGGCCAGGACGCGAGGGGGCCGTGCAGGGCAAGCGGCAATCTCCACAAGTCGTAATGTCCAGCTGCAGCGGGGTCAAAGGCTGAGCTCAGCTGAGCGAGCGTGTCAAAGACGACGCTCTTGCAGAATGACGACAGCGCAGACCCCTTGGGGTCGAGCCAGCCATGCAAAGACCCACGTTTGAAACATGCGCAATGAAATCGCATCCCCACGGCGGCCACGGCCACCCGCAGGACCAGCCGTTGCCGCGCAAGTAGATCGGAGAGAAACCTCATCATCTTGACGGTGCGAACATGCTGTTCACGCCTGAAATCCCCCAGGCCCGCTGCGCCGCTGCCGCTCTCGAGGCCGCCATCTTCCCGCCGCATGGCGCGCACAGCAGCGCCGCACGTCTTCTCGAGCGCACGCGGCAGCAATCCATTCAAGGAGATCAACAGCAGCAAGACGCACGCGGTGGGATGCACAGTGTTCCAGCGGTTCAACGCGGGCACTGCCAAACGCCTGCGCAAAGGAACCATCACCGCCGCCACCGCTCTGTCGACAGACTCCTGCCTGTTCGCGCAGCAGTCGCGGCCCCTGCAATGGTGCACAGGCCTCTCTTGAGACACGTCGCCGGTGAACATCTCCTTGATCAAGTCGACCTCTGGCTTGGTGAGGCCTCTGCGTTGGCCGCGCGCCGCTGTCACCTCCTCGTCCTCCACGTCCTCATCCATCTGGCGGTCGCAATACCCGAGCAGCATGTCGAGCTTCCCCCTGTCCGCTGGATTCGGCGCGCCCCGCCGCACCTCCAGACCAGCCTCCTCGTCCGACAGGATTTGCCGCAGAGCTGTCTCGAGGGCCCGCAAGTTGGCCCCTGTTTGCAAGTGTCTGACAATGGAAAACATGCCGCCGACGACCCCCGTCATGTCCCCGACCGACTGCAAACATATTGCGGTTTGATGCTGCAAACAAAAAGAAGGCAACAGGAGGACCCACCAGGGCAACGTCTGCAGCAAATATTTGCACACCAGCCCGTTTGCGGCCACAGAATCGACGCTCAGGGACAAGCACGCCAGCAGCGCCGACGGCCAGAGCTCATCCACATCCACGCGCAACGCCCGCGCGAGGCCTCCGAGCACGCAGTCGGCGGTTGCAGATTCCAGCACGGACGGTGGGAAGATAAGCTCTTGGCTGTGGACGCGGAGGTCCTCGTCTTCCCAACGCAACACGCCGTGCTGTGTCATCACTTGCTGCCCACAAGGAGGCTTGCCGTCGTTCAGCTGCACAGTGAACTTGGTTTCGTCCCACTGCAGATGCATAACCAACCAATTGTGTTCTGTCCCAGGCGCTCTGAGCACTTGGCGCTCTATTTGAACACGTTGGCTGTCGCAATAAAGCTCCGCCAAAGCCGATCTCAATTGGCGAACGAAAAGATGGCTGCCTTTGATTCCGGTGCCTCTGAAAACCTTGGCGACGCTGCTAGCAGCCATCCGCAGATTCTCTTTGCTGAACACTGCGCGGAGCATTGTCCGAGGAAGCCACTGATCCCAGCGAAATCTTGGCGACTTCTTGCGCGGGCCTTCCTGCCCCTCCCCCATCACGTCCACCTGTCGCTTGGCATTGTCCAAATTGTGCGCGGCCATCTGCGCCTGCAGCTCCATGTCCAGCTGGAGCCGCGCATCGCCCCTAGCCCGACGAGCTGCAGCGGCAGCCGCGCCCAGAGGCACCAGGCCGCGCCTGCCTGGGCGGGGCCCGGGGCGGCGCGCTTCTGCTGCACCTCGAGCCCCGAGCCCATCGCCGCCCACGAGGCGACCCAACGCGCCCCGAGCAGCTGCGAACAGATCCATTCGGGCATATGACCACCAGCGCGCTGGAGCCACAAGGACTACAGATGCACGGCTCACACGATAGAGGCCCCCAGCCTCCTGCTAGGTTTCTCCTCTTCCTTTTCCTCCTCCTCCTCCTCCTCCTCCTATTCCTCCTCCTCCTTCTCCGGTTTGCTCGACGCGGGCCCGCGCGTCACTTCTCGAGCGGTCACGGGCGCCACCGATGACGCTTGCCACCATGCGGAAGGCAGCGTCGGGTAATGAGCAGGGGTGCTCCCTGGCTTGTCACTCACAGCAGTCTGCTTTCTCCTGCGCCTCCCCTCCTCCTCCTCCTCCTCCTCCTCTCTCCTCCGCGTTCGTTACTTATTCCTCCTCCCGCGCCCCCCCCCCCCCCTCTTCCTCGAGGCGGCCTGGCGCTACAACGCATTGCAACGACCACCTTTGAAGCGGGGGTGCCCCCAGCATCCGTTCGCCGCACGGAGTGACCACATAGTGAGCACCTTAGCCTTCGCCTTTCTCTCCCCATCCTCCTCCCGTCCTGGTCTCTTCCCCCTCCCTTCCACCTC